AATGAAAGTCGCTTAAAAAATTGCAAAGGTTTCATTTTCATTGATCTCAAAATTTTCAAAAATGGATGAAGTTGAACATTTTTTGGACGTTTCCCAACAATTGCAATTGTATTGAAGAAAGGTAATTTTTAAATCAAATATGAACTTCACAGACAAATATTTTTAGTCATGACCAGTTTTTCGAATATGTGAAGTATTCACGTATTTTTTATGAAATAAGGCAATTTTTAAACAATTTTCTCAAACGGTTCCAAATTCTTTCTATATATTTTCTTCTAATATTTCAAAGCACGCTAAAAAGGGCGCAGGTCCCATTTTTGTCGAAAACTGTATTTTGAAAATAGCAAAAAATTAACATTGCAATAACAAAATTTATGACAGAAGAATTCCCTCTAATGAACTGTTTAAAAATGAATTCTTTAAAAACGGTCATTTAGAATTTTTGTTTAAAAATGTAGTTTTCGTGTAATTTGCGCAGGAAATAAAGGCATTTTATTAAGAAAATCTTAAAAATTGCTCCAATTTTTAATTTTTTTGATTGTATATAGCAAAAGACACTAAAAGATGGCACAGGTATCATTTTCGGTGAACTCTCTGTATTTTCTAAAATTTCAATAGTTAGAAATAATACGAGGAAATATGCGCTAGTGTAGCATCACAAGAAAATAATCGTTCAACAAGAGCTAGTTACGGGTCACTTCAAGCAGTGAATTCAACCGTTCTAGGGGAAGATTTCCCCGATATCAAAATGGGGGCAATGGAAAATAAAATAGTGAAAATACCGGAAATGATTAGCAGGTGGGCAGAAAGCAAACATTTAGGTTGGTATCCTGCAAGTTTGAAAGCAGCGAGGTAGCAAAAGAGTATTCCCATAAACTCCGAATAGATATCATTTCAACAAGAAATTTACATTCTAAAAAGCCCATTTTTACTTTCTCCCTACGGAGTAGAGAGAAAGTTAAGTAATGCTGCGCGACGACACGGTGAATTTTCGGCAGAAAATCTCTTATTACAGGACCCTGGCAACAAAAAAGTAGATAAATCCAGTTGCTAAATTGAGAAATAAATCCTCTATCAAGTAGTGTAGAGAGAATCCATATTTTGTTGGTTCTTGATACCAAAAAATCGAATGGCAAAACGTCTGCCAGTCCAACTGTCTGTGAACAACGCTAGCGGCTACACCATTCAGGAGATTTTCTATAAAACTGATATTCCTCAACCGATCTAACAGTTGTCGCGGGCTCTTAAATTTGAAACCGATATTTTAATTTTGGGAGGTACTTTACATGAAGCCCCTGGTACATTTTCCAAATTTTCAAAAAAATGGCTACATAGTTTTTTGAATAGTGTGGGGGGCGTTTAAGAGATGGTGCATATTCATTGAAACCCCCTATTTTTCGAAAATTTCAAAAGTTCAATTTTTTTTCGTCTTCCTACAACTAAAATATCAAAGATAGAGATTTTCCCAGAAATAAATCTGTTCCTTAAAGATAGATTTTGACATATATATATATATATATATATATATATATATATATATATATATATATATATAAGTCTATTGTGAAGCGCTCGAGAGTAGTTTGATCAGTTATATTTAACACAAATTGCAAATAATTGTTGTGAAAATTGGGTTAAAGTCACACTGCTGTGTGGTCTAATTGAACCCACGCGATGTTTCCGTACATAAAACCAATGAGATTTACACTAGCTCCATGAGTTCCTAGGTCTTCTTGTACAAACGTGAATGTAAATATACTACAAACACGAATATAACTCAAATAGCGGAAGTATAATTTTACTTATCCAATTTTTTATCGGTAACTGTGAATGCCTAAAAAAGAATTTCACCCATTCTCGCCCTGGGAGATTAACTTCGGAAACACTAACTGTTCTGTCACACATAGATAAGTAAGACTTCACAATAAATCTGATTTCGAGTTCATTAACATGAAATTACTGATTTGGTCACGGTGCATTGCAATGACAATTTTTCGTATTCAGTAAACATATCTGGATGGCCTGAATCGGACATATCTGGTTTCTGAATTGTTTCTTCTTGTCTTTTTTTTATAGTCGATCGACGATCAAGGAAGCTTTAGCTTGTCTTTGTGACATTATTTCTGACAATTTGTTGCCAAAAAGTCCTCAAGCAGATGGTCCTTAGGGCGGCTTCCCACGGCGCGGCCGCGGCGCGCTTCCTTCAAGGAGCAGAGCTCTTCCGACGCAGCCACCGCCGGAGCCACGGCCGCACCGCCGCCCGCCGTGGAAGGGGGTGGGGGTCTGGAGGAGTAGGTTTCACCGACCCTCCGGCGACGACGAACAAAGGGACCGGAGCAGGTAGAACGCTCCCATTTAAAGCTGTGTTCTGCTAGAGGTAGCGCGTGCCCCCTCCTTCGCTTCGCGTAGCTGGAGTTCGGCGTAGGCTGTCGCAGCTGCCGCCACCCACTGCACGTGGGAAGGCCTCCATTCAAACCAATGCTCTGCTACGCGCCGCGCTGCTGCGACGTGCGCTGCGGCCGCGCCGTGGGAAGGGGCCCTTAAGGCCGCCGGCGACCGGCGGCGACGACGGACAAAGGGACCGCAGCACGTACCTGCTTCGGTCCCTTTGTCCGTCGTCGGCGAAGAGCCCTGATGATTGACGTTCGCGCGCTTCTGCCGCGGCGTGGGCAAGCGGCCTAAAATCCGCATATTTCTGACTTCAGGAATTCTTCTGTATTTGTGTACTATTACGGGCAGATTACTACAAAAGCAAGAGAAAATCACAATTATTGAAGTTTTAAATATCGGAATAAAATTATTAACGCATTAGAAAAATAATAAAGATAGTTTTGGTTACTTGAACCTACTTTCAGCGGGGGTCAGGTTTACCACCGAATTATATTAAACGCGTTTAATGCTGCACTGCGTTGCCATCGCACGGAAGTAACTGCAATCTAACTGGTCAATGCAATGAATAAACAACTACAACCGCTTAAAGCACTTTTTTCGCGTGGGTCCAAGTAGCCCGTTATTACGGTAATTCATGTGTTTGTTCATAACTAACCTTACAGTTATTTGAGCATGTTCGAGATTTCTGAAAATAGGGCTAACCTGGCGTCTTTCTTCCCTTGTTCTGTCATCACCAAATTGCAAAGTAAATGCCTGTTCAACCTCTTCATCACTGTAGCAATGTATTTTGATCCACAAAAGTTCACATCAAACAAATCATTTGCGTTCATACGGTTGCATCTTTTGCAATCAAACGGTAGTATGTGAGCAGTTAGAGCATTGCGATCCATCGTACTAGCTTTCAAAACTAAGCTCTCCTTATTCCTTTGTCCCAGAAAATTATTTCATTTGCGTGGCACAAAATCTTCTCTAGTTTTGTCGGGGATAAATAAATGTTGAAACAACTTAGAGGCTGGGAGACATCAACTGCGCCACAGACATCAGTGGCTTTGATTTCCGGTTTTCCGGGCACGTCAACTGCTAAGATCATTAGTCCCGTAAATGTAGGGTATATTTTTTTATCTCGTGAGGTGATCTTCCCTCACTAGATGGCGAGATCCAGCGCCGACCTACAGGTCGGCTTGCGGTGTTATCGCAGCCAGGTATCTCCCACCAGCAAGGCACCGCCCCAGCCGGGAGCAGCGCTAAGCTCTCGACGCATGCGGTGGTGTAATGCATTTATCTAATTAAGGGGAGGGGATAGGACAAAAGGAAGGAAAGATCACGCGCGGTCTGTGGCCCGTTAGGGTATTGCTCCGGTATTCTCCCGGTGTTGATCAAACAAACTACATAAAACTACCGAGCAGAGCAGCCGGCTGTTAGAATTCTCCTCCAGACAGCAGCAGAATTAGACCTAGCAAGTCAGGTCCTATTAGGCCACTAGAATTCTCCTTCAGACAACGGCTAAACTCGACCTAGCTATGTAGGTAAAGTCGAAAATACTGATACCTTCGGGAACCTAGGACCTCCCAATCAGAGGCACTGCAATGACATCAATTGATGCCTATGCAGGAGTCTGAGAAACATAATGAAATACTGACACTGCATTCCACACAAAAGTCTTATTCTCACCAAGTACAGTTCTCTCTATCTTCAAAATCGAATAAATATCATTTACACAGTTCTCCCTCTTCCACTTCTTTATGACTTTATTATTTTTTCCCTTCCTTGCTGTTTTTCCCCTTAGAAGACTTGAAAGTAGACTGTGCACTAGTAAGCTCATGAATGTGAAACACAGCGTGGAGCAATTCTTCAATCTTCTCTCTCTCCTCAAAAAGATCACAATATAGATATTTCATCAATTCAGCCTTAACATGCATTTCAAATTAATGTTCTCTATTGAAACTTTCTTCATCACTTCTTGTATTCGAAATGTCCATTTGTTTCCTTTTCTTCAATCTAAAGTGAAAGCACCTGGATTTCTTCAGAAGTCATTCCTTTTGCCTAATTGTCACTCATCTTTATAGGCAGTAAATTAATAATTTATTGTTACTGTATTGTTCTCTCCAAATTTACATCTTGAAAGCTAAGAATATTCAAGGTGGTGTTGCTTCTAAATGCATAAAACATGGAAAGATATTTTTTAATCACACATCCGATTGTTACAGAACAAAACAAAAGCATATTATTAGCCATATATCCACAGGACTTGCCCATAATTACCATTAAGACTAGTGTCGAAACTCCTCTTCACTATGCTTTTCACAGTGAACAGTGTTTTGGAGGAATAAAAACAACAACAACAACAACGCAGCCTGCTCATACAAATGCCGGAACTACTGATTCACAGCACCTCTATCATTTAAAGATGTCAATGTCAAAAACAAGGACATACCAAATGTATCAGGAGAGGCTAAATTATGAATCAGTGGCTACATCTTGAAGGCATAATAGTAGTGTTCTAGGATTAAGCAGGTCATATCAATACTTTAGATTTGGTTGAAGTGAAACAATTTGAAGTAAGACAAGATACATGAACTGGGTGAGAAAGTTGAAAAGACAAAAAGGACTTGATTGTAAATCTTTATTAACACAAAAGTCCATTAATTCTACAACTTTGGTACAAATACTCATCTCACACACATAGTCCCCTAGAACAGAGGGAACAAAATACCAGGATCGAGCACACTTGGCTGGAAACCATGCTGAGACTAACTAAACAAATGAAAGGTACACAATAATTGGGGATTTATGTGCTAGATTAAAATCCTCCATTTTCTCCTTTTTCATACAAAAAGAATATCTTGCATTACTAAATATGAACAAACTGTCAGATGATGACATAAAATACCATTCAAAAACAATATTCTTGAAAAATCCCCTCTTCACAGAACAATATCATCAGTATCTCCTAATAATAACAGTAAAGAAATATAACTTAACTACACAGCTGTACAAATTCACTGTAATGCAAGATTTTTCCACCATATAAAGTTCAGTCGATTTGTTAAATGTTACAATTCACATAAATACAAACAATTAGAAATTTAAAAAGGAAACTTTTGTTGCTAAAATATTTTACTATAAAGATGATTACAATAAATATCACTGTAATCATATGAGTATCATAAAAAGCAATGGTTTTTGTAAAAACCAATTAATTTCATTGTTTTACATATATCTATATACCTATACATATATAGATATGAAGAGGTGTGTGTATGCATGTCATATAACACTGACTTAAAATTTTAAACACACTCTTGCAATTGTGTGTTTCAGTATGATTGATTGGTAATAGATATAGCCATGTAATTCTGTAATGAATTCATATGGTAATAAATGGGGAAGGATTTTTTTGTGGAAAAAGCAATCATTTCTTCAGCTACTGGAACAACAGCATAGACACTATGGATATTTCAGAATGACTTTTGAGAGTGCTATTTGTATACGTAGTCATTTTGTAAAATTTCATTTTGTCAAAACTTAGTTTCTTAGTTACTACAAACACACTGACTGCTTTTTGCTACAAGTACGATCATGACGAATCTAAATACATTATAGGACTTTGTTGAAGACACAATATTATACACTTGCGCTAACAATGAATAATAAAAAAGAATGGCTAGCAATATAATTAGCAAAGCTATACACATTGAAATTCTTTAAAAAAATTGTTCATACTCCTTATTATGAGTACATTCACAGATTTACTTAATCTAGGCAAGATTTGTATCATCATTCCTTCACTAGTTGTAGTATCATTGTATGAAATGTTTCGTTATAATTGCCAGACTCACACAGAATCCAGGGTATATAATACACCCTTCACAGTTCGAAAGCTTTAAGCAAATTCAAGTTTTTTTTTTTTAATTTGGTAAACAATGTACGATAAACACATTTAGGTCACACTCAGCACACAAGCAGGATAATATAGATTGGTACATTCAGAAATACAAAGTGTGAAGCTTCCTTAAAAATCACAACTCGACCATAGAGGAATAATGCAGGGAGGGCCTCTTTGACTGCAAATTAACATGAAAAATAACACTGGGAACTTTACATATACTAAAAACATAATGAAAATTAAATCTTCATAACAAATATTTACAATTTTGAAGGGAAAAAAAAAATTATATACTTCCAAAAAGGTTTTGATAAGTAAATTACACAAAGAAATGTTTACAGTAAAACAAAGTTTGAACTGTGATATTTCTTCCGATCTTGCAAATAAAAAGGTACTCAAATGTTAAGAAAAAAGTAATAATTATAATAAGCACAATAGGCTGGACTTTCCTCACACAAACTCAATAATATACATGGTGTCAAGTCCCCTGCTATTCCTCTGCCTACTTACAAGCTATGCATCTCAAATATGATGATAATTTCCTGCGGAAGAGGATGCTACTTTCAGTAATACCATCCTTGACTAAGAATATACAGATTTCAAATCTCTGATGTTTAGATGGAAATTACTAATTAAGATGATTGTTTGGTAACATTACATTCAATGTAGTTTGCAAATGCATTTTTACATTGTATACATTACAAACAGGAACCTCACTTGGAACACAAGAACTAGTTATGACCAATGTCCACAAAGGCATTCAAACTTCAGTCACATTTGTTTTCAAAAATCTCCCATTTCCCTATCTCATCTGCATAGTACAGTCAAGGATATAATCTAGCATCATTACTTTTATCCTCATTATTCCTCACTTTGACAACACTTAAAACATATACATTATAATAGACAATAAAATATCACATGCCAAGAAGTTGAGCCATTTTGTGAACTAAACACAAAACAGAAGGCTAAACAACTGGAACATTCAAGTAATATGCTGGACAGTTAACACAGATCAGAATGACCTGGAAATATGTGTATATATTGTTATATAGAGACATTACATTAACTTGAGAGACACTGCTGTAATAAACATCACTTCTTTGCAGATATATGGAAATTTTTTTTGCATAGTATAATGCCAATAAAAGTTTTTACTTGATGAATCAGCTTATGTTAAAGATAGAAATTTTCAGATGAAATATTTAAAATGCTGTGAATGAACTTGGTGATGAAGAATTATGAACAATGAAAGTTAGTCAACACAATTTGCAAATCACACACACAAAAAGAAACAACATGAGGCACATTCCTCCATTAGTTAGTTCAATCAGTTCATTATAAGCACAATAATTCATAACAAGAAATGTAAAATTCATTGGTAAGCTGACTCGATTACAAATTAACAACAAAAATTAAGTTGAATAAAATACTTCTTCTGAAAAGCTGTTTTCCATTCAAGTGAATATAACTGAATATCTATTGTTCCTAAACACATTATTATAATTTCTTTTGCTATTTAACAGATCAAACAAACATTAAAATTAGAAAATAATCTTTATCACTTGGCTTTAGAGCCCACATTCACCCACATTTCAATACAACATTTAAAAGTATGAACCAATTTTATGGAAGAATATTCAACCTCACAAGTCATCATAAAGCACATAATGCTAACAATATGACACGTAATCAAAAGCAAGCCATCCACAGCATTTTTGCAGAAGTATGTTCCACCCCACAGAGACAAGGGCACATCTAGTAGAGGCTTTCCGTAGTTGTAGCCACATTATAGGTTACACTGCCACAGTATCGTAGGCTGAGATTGCGAGTCCGCTTTGGCCGTGCTGGTAGGGGCCTGCTTCGTTTCTACAGAGAGGTCACCGGTGAAAAAAAAGAACACCACAATCAATCAACTTGAGATCATCAAAGACATTAAAATTAATTGTCAGCTTGATGGTCAAATTATAAGAGTATGCTTTAATCCAAGTGTACAGACAGTGATTCCAATCTATACATTTGCAATCAAAGAAAATGGAAAGGTTTTAAAATAATCATCAGACAGTGAACTAAAATACAAGGTACTGGCCATGGACTCTCATACTAAAATATTACTGAAATAAACAAAGACTTTTTTCCTTAATTCCTTGTTCATCATATGAAACAGACTGGAAGCTACTGTCATACAGTGAATAAAGAACCGCAACTCAAACCTTTCTGATTTCTGTGAAAATTGCAATACTTGAATAACAAATGAAGTACTGTAACAAATTTTTAGATTTTGTGGAATCTAGCTTAGTGTTCTGTACAACAAATTGCTCATGTCAAATCTCCTGTAAATACAACATGCTATGCATATTGCCACACATAAATAATGTGCGTAATATGAATGGTTTGCTCTGTCTAGTCATTACTACAATGTTGAAATATGGTAATGGAGTATATATATAATACATATAATAAACATGTAATTAAGTGTAAAATAAAATATTTCTGAGCGTAGTATATTTTAAATGCTTTAAATATTTCAATGTCAGAAATTGTGAAGAAAAACATTCCAGTGCAAACCACTCATTTTACTATGAATTCACATTCATGGCATAGCAAATTCTTACAGGATGTTTTCTCACTAAACACACACAATCCAAATAAAAAGTCTAATATCCCAGACTAAATGAGATAACAAAATTAAGCTCTCTGGGTAGAAATGGAGTGAAACCACCAGATTACTTTTGAGTGATGACAAAGCAAGACAGTGGGCAAAAAACAGTGAGCAGTAGGAGTAATTTTAATATCACATATTCTTAAATTAAGATCCAAAGCATGCAAAGCTGTAATATAAAAGAGCAAGATAAAAAAACTGACTCTGAAAGAAAAAGTAAAGTCACATTGTATCAAACTACAATAAATTATGAATGTTTTAACTAGGTTTCAATTACAACTTTTTAACAGGTTACGTTTGGACATACATGGAAGATAAATTGAACAGTTTTTGACTGCAGAATCATGAGTTTTATATTTTATATCATAATATACATACCTATTTGCTTTCTATAAAAACAAAATATTAATATTTTTTAAGAATTTCCAAAACAAATTTCAAAAGTTCTTTTATTATAGATAAAGAAGTATGAATTATTTGGCATTCTACACTGTCAAATTTAGTGAGGAAAGGTAAATTTCTAAATGTATCAATTTACCTTCCACAGTTGGAAACAAAATTCAATTCAAAGGTCTAAACAGAGGTATTATAGGTATGAAGTGTTCCAAATTAATTTGTCACTGCAGTGAAGAGGGTTGCTGCAAACACATTACATAAAGGATTATGCTTGCCTCTAAAATTGGTTGCATTTGAACATATAACACTATAAAATAGCTGAAAAATAAGAAGATAATGGTACAGAAAGCAAGAGTCAGGCAGCAAAGGTTGATATGTCAAAGGACTGCAACTGAGGATAATTATTTGAGGTATATCATTGAAGTCTATTGTTTTGCCTCACTGTAAGGAAGAAGTAGTGTATAAAAATTCTTCATAAAGAGAAGATAGAAATTTGGAAACATGAACTTGCACTAAAAATTAAACAATTTTGCAGACCCCTTTTTCTTTTCAATCCCTCACAATGAGATCACAATATGTGCAAACATATAATGAAACAGCCGTAGTTCATACAATACAAAACATTAACATAATATTGAACAAGCAAGCATAATTTAATAAGCAATGACATTTAAAGTGAAACTTTAGAATGCTTTATAAAGTAAAATATTATGAAATTTCTCTTTTTGCACACTAGCTATTCAGTGTACACAGAGAACATAAGTTCCTTGTTTCACTTCAAACATATACTTTGCTTTGTGCCATTATAAGCATACAAACATTCATTCATTCTTTAGAAGGAATCTGATATAAACCTAAAAATCAACTATACTCCACCTGGTCTTACTGAAATTGTGCATCAATAACTTACGGTTTCCTTTGTTTTGTATCATGAAACGAGAAAGTGCCCACCAGAACAATGTTTTAGTAAACTCACATGAACTCAATAAACACAAGCATACAACTAAATCCATGACACCATGTTAAACTACAACAATAGCCACCATGAAAATATGAGATAAGAAACCACAACTGCTGTGTGTTCAACACAAAAATAAACAAACGGTTCTTACATAAAATACAAAGTAAATAAAATAAATCCCATTTGAAATTCAATATTATAGTGATTCCATTTTGAAATAAGATATTACAAAGAAATAACACTGGATGAAATTAAAATTCAGCACATATATTGGTCCATATTCAAACATGGTGGCAACTGTTTACTTAAAAACATAACACAAAAACACAAACCTACATTTTGAAAACACATGTTTTACTATCTACATGAACATGCTAGGAAAGTTAAAAATGAAGAGTTTATTTGCCCATACAATTTCCAGTATATTCTAATTAAATAATCTATACTGCTATGCTGTTAGGTAATTGAAGTTCATTTCAGAAAAACATGGATAGAAAGTGGCAGACTTTGAACTATGCGATTTTAAGTTCAAGCCATGCAAAATGCTTTGAAGAAACTTTTGGGCAATAATTCAACCTGTTCATAGAGAAAATTAACAAAACATAGTGATGTCAGATATTGACGCAAAGGTTTTCACTAACTTCATTTACATCAGACATGAATGAAATGCCACGTCATGACATCACAAGATATATAAAGTTTACTAAAAGTCATAATGGATCAAAAAGACCACAAAAATATGATAACATCTAGTTCAGTAAGTCAAACATAGAGCTATTTTATTTTTCACTTAACTCATATTATTCTTTATCTTTGGTATGTACAGATGAGAGTGAACATTCACAAAGAACAGCCATGTTCTTGCTATGCAAAAAACTTTGACCAACTCATTTCCCAGTGTGAATAAATATAACAAAAGAAATATAGACAGTAATACAGAAACAAGAAATAACAAAAATATACCGATCTGCAGAAACCATACTTATGCCCAAGAATTATTTTATATTAACAATTTTTAAAAATGTGTTAGTAAGTTATCATTAAAGGATGAAAACAATAATAAATAAATTAAAATAAATAATTTCAGTTGACGTATGAATCCCCAAATTTACAAAAACAAGAGAAAATGAGTTGTATCAAAAAATTTTCCAGTTATATTCCACAAGAACATGAATGACTTTAGTGAATTCTTTAAAATTTCATTAATTCAACTTATATTTGCGTCTGACTTTACTGACCTCTCAATGAGTTTTCTCATTTCCTCAGTGGTCAAGTCCTTGTCGTTGGCCCTGACATTAACTGAAACCAAAACCAAAATACAGCATCCACGGCTCCACCACAGCAGAGAACTCAAGAGAGACTAAAGGGATGGACAACTAATATTCATATATCGTTTAAGAAATAAAAAAATTAAAAATTGATTGAATGTTGAATATTAATTTTTATATTCTGGAGGGGGAAAAAAAATTCTTGGCATCAGTTATGCTATTAAATGGCAATTTCCCCCCCATAAATCCAAAATAATACTATTAATAAAACAAAAAATTGTCCATTCCTTAAAACATTGAATATAAACGGAAATAAAACAAAACGGAGACCAAAACGAAGAATCTAGCTACATTACTTTTTTAAGACAATTTAATACATTTATGGAAAATTAGTACACTAAGACACTGATTAAGAGTTAAACTGCAATTAACATACTCTGCAAATGCAAATTAGGCACTTACTGTACAAATCCTCCTGGCTTGGACCAACACAGTGGTGTTAATTTGTACTTACTTGTTACTCTGATGTCCCTTTGTAAATGCATGCAAGTGCATGCACGCATGCATTTATCTACTCTTTCACCCATACTTAGAATTCCATACCTCCATTCTACTAACAAATCACTCTAACACAAATATGCACATATTTTTCTATAATCAAACTTGTCACTTGTGTAAACTGTTACTCACCTATCTCAAATGAAAATGTTTTATAAGTAAATGCAACATAATTTTATAACTAATATTTTTTGTGCTCTTTCTTATTGAACACCACTGTCTTGATCAGAACCAAGACAAATATGATATGCATTTCCTCATCTCAACTACCATCATGTCCGTCACCACAGAAAAGGTCATTACAGAGAGAAAGGTAACAGACGTACAGGACAGGGACTTCTATTTTCAAATTTCTCAAGCTTATGAACTCATGCATAAGAATTCTAGAGGAGAAGCTGTCTTGCATATCAATGCTTTGTTTCTGTGTCAGAGTATCCCCCAAATGAATAAAATCGAGGAGAAAACCAAACAGCTTACCAATATAATAAAGAAAAAAGATATAGCACTTACTCGATACACTGACAAAAGTGAAAGCTTTTATCTTCATTGAATGATGACTATGATTGAGAAAAAATGTCATTAATATAAATTTAAAGCACCCCTCTATTAAATTTACAAAAGAGCATAATTTTCAAAAATTTTAAATTGATTGTATTAAGGAAATGCCTACAAAAGGTAAATTTATAATACAGTGGAAACCCACACAAGAATGTATTTTACTACCACATTTTGAATCAATGTGAATAAAATATTAATAAAAATTGAGTGAAAAATATGTTTACAATATTGCAAGAAGGAAACAAGGGCAGTTTTATTCTAGAACTTTGAAGGACAAGGGATTGCAAAATAATAAATTTGCTTTCAGAAGGAAAAGAGAAAGTATGGAAAGGAAATAATTAGGATGTAAACACTGTAGAATGAGCTACAAATTATGTCTTAAGGTTTCCATTGTACTAAATATGCATTTACAAAATCTGTCATAAAGAAAAGGTGAAAAAGACAAATATAACAAGGACGTTAGTTGAGAAGCCTTCACCTTCTCAATAGTAACTACCCTTGTACAACTGAAGCTCAGCAGTAAGTAATCCAACCACAAATTCTTTCACCAGAGCTACTCATATCCATAAAAGTGAGAATTCATTTCTTTCATCATGTAGAAAAGAAATTAGAAATATTTGTACAATATGTGAAAAGCAATATTTCTGAAATATGGCATGCTTTCTCTGTTAAATATAATACATATTGTTATAGATTAGATACAGGAACATGTTTTGCATAATACTCAAACATTTGTTCATTCAGATTGCAAATGTATTATTCTTACCATTTATAACTATAAGTGTTATAATGGAAATTTAGTTACCTATTACTTGTGATGCCTTTGCATTAATTGTATAATCTGCTTACATTTATTATTTTCTCAGGGGAAAAAATTCTACATCTTTTATAGAGTAGATTTTTTTTGCACAAATTTCATTATCACTGTCATCTATTAATTAATATTTTTAAGACTCTTGGCTACTGTATCACAAAATGTTGATATTTCTGAATGAACAAATATCATTCAGAAACGGCTTGCCATCACATAAAAACACAAAACCTCTAAAACTGTGATAAATTGGCTTAAACAGGTTAATAAAACCAATATTTTACATAAGTTAATTCAAACTCCTACGTGCCCACATTTGGACCTGCTCAGTTTACATGTCATCATTTTCTAAGGTATATTAGTAGTAGCACTTCAGTGAATACCTTGTAGGGATGCCAACATCATAGCAAATTGAATGATTAAGAAATCAACTCAGTTTTCCAATCGCAATATCTTCTTTTCCGTGATATTACTTTTATTCATGTCCCAGGAGGAAAGTAAATGAGAAAAAAAATAAATTCTTGGAAAGGTGAATGAAGAAATTTGTCAAATTTGATTATACTGCCATCATGACCATACATATAGAAAACTTTCTTTAACCTTTTCATAAATTTTCTAAATGCTTGCACTTTTCTGAATATACCCATTCAATATACACCAAAGTACAATACACTTTTGTTATGTGCTATTAGGTAAATATAATTCCAAAAAGTTTTAAATATTAGACCTAAGTTTCCAATGCAGATGCAATAATAAAACTGACTACGAAATGTAATACTGGAGAAAATTGTCTGGCATATTCTTGAAATTTCATTGTTCTTCCCAAATACATTATGATTCTACAGAAGAAATGATAGTACCCATAGTCACCCATAGTTACATGCAATATCAAACATGAAATGAAATAATGCAGGTAAGGGTTAAGAAATGTAAGAAGCAGTTGCAAGTTATTCCCCTTCAAAAACCACATGAAAAATTCGATATTGCGACATCGCAACACCAAAAACTTCCCCACGTCAATATATATGTATATATATTTTGAAATACACTGCTTGGCAACCCTACTGGTAACTGATAACATAAGCATGTAATTTTGATGATACTAGATTCCTTAATAGTTAACTACCCTGTCTAGCATTTTACTGTAGTATCACCAGTTACCGGAGGAGTCATACTACATGTTACAGTTGTGGAAAAATAAGTATCAAGGTATGAAATCTACTGTGCAGAAAAATGTGCAAATACATCAGAGAGAATTTTAACACATTTTAGATGACAAATACTGCTTTGCTCTGAAAACATAGTTCCACTAACAGCAATGATGATGCCTCCGGAGTGGTCAGGGTAGATTCTTTTAAATTTTATTAATATTTTGCAACTTGAGCAGGATCCTCATGAGACTGAGGCTGTGCCGTACTTGACTCACCTCCGTAGTTGCGGCTAACCAACTGGTCTCGATCACACTCTGCCTCGGAGATCTCATTGCTCTCCTTTGAGTCGTTGAAAGAATTGTTGGGGTCATGGTTACGTGGAGGTGGTGGTGGTGGTTCTGGGCTGCCCGAGATAGGTAAATTACGGGCAGAACCTGTAAAATTTTATTGAAGTGAAACAAACACATTTTCAATAAGTTTTACTATGAGAGGAGAGTTATCTTTTTGCTCAATTCAAGTGACTCCCTGCCAATTGCAGCAGTCAGTTCAACTGAATATTAAAATAAAAGAGAAAGATATTAAGATATTCAACATCCATCAGTATTTTAAATTGTTTTCAACAATACACATTAAGTGACAAAATTATACTGTTAAACATTTCCCCCCTTTATTTCATTTTTAACTTTTATACCTTTATTTTGATGGGTAATATTAAAATATATTGAACCATATGGAGAATTTATTATTGATTATTATTGTCCATGTTCTCCATTGTGGATATTTTTATATTTTTATGCATTTAAAAAATTGGAGAGCACAACTTTTGCAATAGTGACAATACCAGTGACTAATTTTCATTATTAAAAAGCAAATGCAATATAAAACAAATAATTCAGAATTATGTAATTTTTTTGATATTTTCATTAGAACACAAAAGGAAGGTATTCATAATTGTCTTTTCCTTAACTGTATGTCAATATTTTGTGAAGAATTAAAATTTTAAAGTAACTTTTTCATCATCAAAATCCAGGTTGTTCTTGATAATACAATATTTGACAGGATGTTAATATTTAAAATTTCATATAAAGGAATGGAATAAAGAGGAAAAGTGAAACAGAGGATATAAATGAAATCAGAAACAAAGAGAAGACAATTCTTACAGCAAAATGCCCAGAAAAGTTGTGAATAAGTATATAATAGAAAATTACTGTTAAACTGACTGATAAACGTTTAAACAACACAATATAAAGCATCCATTCTGGTGGTCATAACTAAAGGCAGACACATACTTTTTCTTGGTTGAACTAAGATAAATGGAAATTTGGAAATATATAAAAGTTACTGAAATAGACAATATGCTATTTCAATAGATAATGTGATTTAGATTATGAGCTGTGAAGAGAAATAGTTTTATTTATTTGGAAAAGTACAAGGAAACTACTGGTAAGTGCCCCAGTTTGGTATGGTTTCAAGATAATTCAATTAGTAATATTTTAATAAATGAATTATTAACTGACCCACACTTCTCCTGCTCACAGATCCACGACTACCATAGTGATCATAAGGAGCACCATATTGTCCATACTGACTTCCGTACTGATCTTCTTCAGGAGCACAGTTAGCAGGATCATCATACTCAGGACCAGGGGAGAAGTTGGAGTTTGGACCATTCTGACTGGCAACTCGAGAATAACGGCCATTGGTACGTGGCTGAAACAAGTAGTAAAAATTGGGATTTATATTGACTCAACATCACTCATCTGAAAATGAATATAATTTAAATATAGTAAATAATAAAAGTAGTAAGAAACCACTCAGGAAGACTCAAAGACAAATCTGTTTTAATTCTCGCAATTTGATTAATCTGAAAAAACATGTTGATCACAATATAGAACTGATATATTTACCTTCCGAATACTACATATAATGCAGTGTGTTTCTAAAGCAACTATAATAAATTTAGAATGCAAAGAACATGCACAGAAGAACAAACAATCACAAACAACTTGAATCCACACATTATCATTATTTTAAATAAAGCAAATTTTGGAATATCATTTACATAGTATTTATTCTCTTTTTCATTTTATGGTAGTCTAACAATCATTGCTTGTTAGGGATTTACCCAAATAAATAATGTATAATGGTGAAGATATACTTTTTGCTGTTATATTTAAACATGTGTTAGCAATTTACTGCAAATTTTTCGTGAAGCAGAAATGCCCCACAAAACAAATAGTACTAATTGTTATTATTTCTTTAATAAAAATCAAATAAGACTGTGAAATAGATCACCATCTTTATGCTATTATTTACTTTTAGAAGTACTAAATTTCCAATATATTAACTGTGTTTTATTTGTAGACTTAAGATGATCAATATTTTGTTGCTTGTCCGATCGTGCATCTTTCATGCTCTTAAGTAATACTTTCACTTTTAATTAATCACATATTCAGGGGTAATTAAATAGATATTTTAAAACATTTGGGATAATTTTCATGTTATTAGAGGTTCACAAAAACGATCTGCAAAGTTAATATGCTTAGTTACATAATCTGTCAATATACAACAATTAATAACATAAATACATAGTAGATCACCCAGTTATAACAGGTTTCAGTATCTTGAATTCAAAAGCATATCAAATAGTCTTTACAAGACCAATTATTTTACTGGCTAATCATCATATTTTTAACAGACAACATTTGTTTTCAATAGTTTTATACCCAATATATGTATAAAAACTGGTGGCGCCTCAACGCAGTACCTTAAATCATATTATTTTTAATGGTTATACAATATTAAAATACTACAACTTAAATCCTAATAAAATTTCAGCCATCTCTACAAAACACAAAATATGAGAAATTTGCTAAGAAAAAAAAAAAATTAGTTATTTTTTTTGAAAATCCAAAAGTTTTACTGAAAATGTCACTTGCACCACATAACTTTTCTCCTACTCATAGAATCTACAATTTTTATGAAGAGTTTACAAGATGAACTTTCTGGAATTTTTGAGAAATCAGAGGTTTTAATAAAAAACAGACACAGTACTATTAAAAAGTGCAATGATCTCTATTTTAATTTTAAATTAAAATTCTGTTCCAAATTTTCAGGGACTTTAGTTTGGCTTGATTGATCATGGAATATCTGTTTTGGGAAAAATCCTATGCAGTGTATGGTAAAGATGTACACAGTGTCATTCATGGTCAGGCAGATGGATGTTCTTGAAAAATCCACCATTTTGGTTTCAGGGTCCCTATAATCAATCTCGACATTGAATTCTGAATGCATTACATACCCTTCTTTACATTATGTACACTTGTATATGAGAATATAAGAAGATTGATACCAATTAAATCTTATAAATGAATTAGATAAAAAAGTATTTGAATATTGCAAATAATAGTGTGAATTATAGAATCTATGAACTAAGATAATAGAATCTAATTTCCATTTTTTATTCACAGTAAGTTTCATAATTTATTTACCATTGATTGAGATCCACTGCGCTGATGTACATGACCATTTCCAGAAGAAGGTCCCATTGTACCAGAGTGAGAACGTTCATGACCATTCTGGTGAGGAAAGGTTTGGAACTGCACAGCCTTGCTTGGATCCATTTCTTCACGGAATCCCAATAGGTGAAAAGTTGCATAAGGACAAATTTCGTCTTCCATACCTGCAAAACATTACTCTGGGTAGACATGCTCAAAATAAACTTTTAAATATCTTATATAATTCGAAAATTACTCATACTTGCAGATTGAAGTAGTAGGCAAATGCGATAAAATACATGAATTTTTAGAAGATACTATACTGTAATTTAAAATTCATTAACTATCATTCAAATTTCTCTCTTTATCTTTCATATGAGAAAATATCCCTATACTGATGGCATCAATAACATTCCAACTACAATTATTCTCAGCATTTACAATGCACACGAGACAAGTTTACAATTTTGTCTAGAAATAATTTACTACAACTACAATATCAATACATTCAATATTTCACAAAACAGTTTTTAAATGTAAAAATAATTATTTTTTGAATTACATGTTTGCATCTATACACATGCTATATTACACCTATGAAAATTAAAATGGATTTCAACAATCACATGCAAATCATGCTACCTGTCTTCATGCATGAGGTATTAATATAAACATTTTGGTAAGGAACAAAAGAAAACCGAGTAATTTAAATGCAATATAGAACACTGATTTTTAATATTCCTTACCTGTTTGTTAGTAGAATATGTCAAGAGTTAACACTCTGGCCCTGAATTTGTGTATTGTGGTCAGATTTTGACTCACCTCCAACACGATGGTATAGGGTTTCATCAGAACCCATTGGGTGGGCAGGTACTCTACGTCCAGGGGGATGGTGACTCAGCTCCTCGTACATGTGGCGCGCATGTCGGGGGTCCCACGTGGCATGGTGGCTGCGGAATGAGCCTGTATGGCCTGCAGCCAAGGTGAGCCAATGGGCAGACGTACAAATAAATACACAAGCCAGACACAAAAGGTTGAAAATTAAAACTAATAATAAAAATAAGCTTGGTTTCCTTTAAGAAAGCCAATAGGTGCAGCAGGCATGTACATAGAAGCTTCATTTATCCCTGAACTAAAATAGAGAACAATACTCATGAATTTGTAAATAACGAGTATTTAACAGCCAACAAAAAATTTAAAGAGCAGCAAAGGTATACATCACAACTGGATAATTGGTTTATTATAGAAAGAAATGTGGAGGCTGCTGATCATAAAATTGTACATACAAATGAAACCTAACACTCAGTAACATTCCTCTAATATGTTCATGCCAAAAATAATAATAATAATTATAAAAAATAACATGCGACTATTAGACTTTACCCGACAACCAAGGTAGTTCCCGAGATGGATACAGGAAATAAACTGGACAATTAGTGTACGGTCTCAAAGTGGAAAGTGGAATTTGGACATGACAATGCCATGAAGACAGGTTATCATTTTTTATGTTAAGAAGAGAACCATATGGCATTGATTTTTCCTCTTGAGTGTTTTTTTTTTTTTTTTTTTTTTTTTTTTTTTTTTTTTTTTTTTTTTTTTTTTTTTTTTGATTTTGCTGTCCATTGTCTTACTTAACAGTATTCACATTTTCTCTGGTGCTGATTAGGTTGAGATGATGATAATTATGTTTCCTGTTCTCATGACTTAGGCAAAACAAGGTACAAGATGTAAGGATTTGTGGTGTGTAGTATCTCCAGAATACTACTTTAGGTTGTCCAGCACTCATAAGTCTCGTCTGTTTATCCAGCCACATGCGACAGGGGAAGTTGTATGCAGCAGCTCACACGACAAGGAGAGAAAAGGAAGATGAGAGAGGTCGCCTTACTTATGACGGTACCTCGCTTGATGCGATCACACGTGTTGTAGTTTGAGCCAGG